CTTTGTGCTTCTGTGAATTATACTAATTTCATAAAATGAACAGGTATTACATTCATAGCAAAAGGTTGTGTCTCCAATGTTACCAGATAATGTTTCATTTGTCAGCTCTAAGCTGTCTTGATAGTTGTTATATTGTATCGACTTCAGCAACTGTAACTGCTGGTGACAGTGAGGTGAGCGGCATCTGCTGTCAGCACATCTAACTAGCAGACAGAGAGAATGCAATGCTGAAGGTTAACAGGACAAAACCATATGAAGGCGGTGACACTGAGAGGCCATTGGAAACCTGTCACAGCAATCTAGATGGCAGCTTCCTATTAATAGCCAGGCTGGCTAAGATAATCGTAAACAATAAGACTTAGGAATAAATGGAAAAAGTGATGTGCTAGAATCCTAAAATTAGTTTTTCCCATAAAAGAGGCTCACATAACCACTATTAGCGATTTCAAACCAGCATTCCAAGTCTATGAGTCCACCTGCAGTGACACAATTCATTTCGCAGGCTGAATAAATACCCTTGCATAGAAACTAGTTCCAGGCGTGTGCAATTGAATCTCACTATTTAGTTTGGATATTTATAAATATAATCCACTTTCTAAAAAAGTATTTTTAAAACAATTTGAATTTCAAAATTCATCGAAAGGGAAAATAAAGGAATCCCACTCTTTCACTTAATAAAAAAAAGTCATGGAAGCAATCTAGAGAAAGAGCTAAGTGACCTGAGAGACCCAGTGGTGTCTCCTGAAGATGAGCATTTGGCACTGTAGCTGGTTAGACTGGGACAATTCGTGCTGGGCCCAGTAAATGAGAACAAAATATCAAATATTTGAAAATGAAGAATATAATGAAAGACACAAAAGAACATGCTACTTTATCTGTTAGGAATTAAAAGTTCAGGCTGTTATTTAAAAGTTTATATATGTTAATAATTTAAACACAAGTCATACCTTAAAAAATCAAATGTACATGATTTGATTGAGGACTATTGTCCTTGTAAAACATCCAAGGAGACATAGGCTACTTTTAGCTTTTTTTTTTCTAAGAATTCCATCAGATTCAAGGTTATCAGTTTTCCAAGAATGAAGGTTGTATATCAGTGTAACATAATGAATTTTTACAGATTTAAAGGCATATATAAAGTTGGGTAGACTTGGGCTCATAAAGTTATAAAGAAGAATGGCTTAGGATTTTCCTTTTGAACTCTGGCTCTGGCTTTCTTAGAAGGCTGTTGTGATCTACCAGGATATTCCCTTAGCCTTGCATTCTTTAAGGAAGCTGCTGACTGAACCAGTATGGTGTTTCAGATTTTTGCTGTCTATTTTTGAAGTTAATTCTCAGCTCTATTATTTCCAAGAAAAATGGACATTAAAGAGTATAGACACCGATGCCCACAATAAGCAGATTATCTTCCCCCTGTTAATTTTCCAGCCAACAATGCACCATCCTCCTGGGGGCTCCAATGAAAGAACAGCTCTTCCACCTTCCCTTCCTCCTGCAGACCCACCGAAAAGAGTTCCACAGTCCACACGGCTTCAAATGGAAGGTGACCGAAGGAAGACACAGCGATTAACTTTCTTAAAACGTCAAAACTGTAGCATTTCCAAATATACCCTGTGCTGGGCACCACATAGGGTTCATTATTTTAAATCTCACAGCAGCCCCATGAGATAAGTTGATGTTGCTTCCCTTTGACAGAAAGCTGAGATAAAGCGATTTCCACGCTGCTGCAAAGTGGCTACCCTGGATTTTACTGCCTCCAAAAGGCAAGGGAATTTCTGAAAATTCAATCTTTCAGGTTCTTTGGATAAGAACATCTCGACTTTTTTGTTGTTGTTGTTTTTAATCATCAAGAACCATGGATGCCCTCTCTCTTTGCCTTGTAGATAAAGATTCTCATTCAGGAAGCTTGGGTGAAGACCCAAACATCTCCTGTTTCTTAAGCTTCAAAAATGATTCTTATGCTCTCTAGGTCAGGGAACCACAGCGTCAGGTTCTCTTGTGTGACCTCCTGGCTTGTAAGACTAATGTTTATTGGGCTCTGTTCTCTCCCATGCCTCTTCAGAACACCTAAGTACATCTCTTCCTTTAATGAACAGGTAGCAAAGTTGGACCATTCTTTTACTGAGCAGTTAGCAACATGGCATCCATACAACACTAACAAACACCTCAACTACGGGCTGGAGAGATGGCTCAGTGGTTAAGAGCATTGCCTGCTCTTCCAAAGGTCCTGAGTTCAATTCCCAGCATCCACATGGTGGCTCACAACCATCTGTAATGAGATCTGGCGCCCTCTTCTGGCCTGCAGACATACACACAGACAGAATACTGTATACATAATAATATTTTTTTTTAAAAAAAAAAACACCTCAACTACATTCTTAAGTGAGGGGTAGGGGAGAGAGCCAAGTCAGTGAAGCTCTTGCTCTGTAATGAGGGCCTGAGTCCCATGAATGATGTGGGATTACCCTCTGTATTCTGTGAGCATGTTTTATTACCATTGGTTAATAAAGAAACTGCTTTGGCCTATGGCAGGACAGAAAATAGCCAGGCAAAAAGAGAGAGAAAGAGAGAGAGAGAGAGAGAGAGAGAGACAGACAGACAGAGAGACAGACAGAGAGAGAGACAGAGAGAGAGACAGAGAGACAGAGAGAGACAGAGAGACAGAGAGAAAGCAGAATCAAGGAGATGCCATGTTGCTGCTGAAGGAGAGAGGTGCCAAAACTGGTAGGTCACAGCCTCGTGGTGATACATAGATTAATACAAATGGGTTAATTTAAGATATAAGAGCTACATAGAAAGATGCCTAAACCATTGGCCAAAAGTGTCATAATTACTATAGTTTCTGTGTGATTATTTAGTTCTGGGTGGCTGGGAAACCAAGGAGCAGTCTCCATCTACACATGGAAACACATGTACCAAAATTAAAAAAAAAAAAAAAGAAAGCCTGGCATGCTAGCTGAAAACCCCTCAGCCCTCGGGAAGCAGAGACAGGTGAAGCTTTCTGGCCAGTCTGCCTACCCTAATTGTTGAGCCTCAGTATCTACTTAGAGACCGGGTCTCAAAAACGGTGCATAGTACCTGAAGAAGAAAACCCACAAGGTTGTCCCCTGGGGTTCACACATGTGCACATATACCTGCACATACATCTATACACACACAAGTGAGATGAAATAATTTTATCAATGCTTCTTACAGACATGTAAAAGAAACCTTGACAATTCTCATCTGCATCAAACCCCTGCTGCAAGTGACAGACTGCAGGGGCATGACTCCCACCAAAGTGACAGTCTCTGCAGATGTGCTGTTGATGTAAGAGGGGCTTCTGGGGGACATGAAAGGAGCTTGTAATGCAAGAAAAGGGTATTTAAGTGTTAATCCCATATCATTGTAGCACCCGTTCTGACTCTGCTCTGCGGTGACAAAATAAAGAGGAGCAGTGGCAACAGGGACAGAATGTGAGCTGGTGATGTGGCACGTGGCAAGCATGATGCATGATCCCTAAACTGGTGAAAGATAGTATGTTACTACCAGTGGATACCATGGTGGGAGGCCAGTGCTGGTGGATCTCTGTGAATTCAAGGTTATCTTGGTCTATGTAGTGAGTTTCAGGCCAGCCAGAGTTACATAGTGAGATCCCCATCTCAGGGGGAAAAAAGAACGAAAGAAGGGAAGGAAGAAAGTAAAACAAAATAGAAAGGTGCAGTATTATAGCCAGGCATAACCTTGCATGCCTATAATCTCAGGACTTTGGAGACAGTGAGAGGAAGAGTCCTGGAAGTCCAAGCAAAGGAAGGAAGGAAGGAAGGAAGGAAGGAAGGAAGGAAGGAAGGAAGGAATTAAGGAAGAAATATGTTGTAAGGCTACTTATTTCCAGATCAGTTTTCTCTGGCATGATTCTCATAACTCTTGCTAGACCAGCTGAAGCAGGTGACAAACCAGTTTTTCAAAGTCCCATTCTTAACCCTGGATCACGAGTTTCTGCAGTGAGCACTCCCAGAATGCTCTCTCCTAAACAATATTGCACAGGATGTTTCAATCTAATTATAAGTGATTTTTTCTGGGCCTATTAATATTTTCAACTATTAAAATTATTTGTATGTGTGTGTTCTATGGGTCCATATATGTGGGGGTATGTGTAGACCAGATGTCAACCCCTAGTATTGTTCCTCAGGTGTCATCTCCCCGATTTATTGTTGTTGTTTTTCCTACAGAGTCTCTCATGGACCTGGAAGTCACCAAATGCACTGTGCTGGTTGGCCAGTGAGCCCCAGAAATCTGCACATCTCATCTCCCCAGCACCATCATATCTGGCAATTTTTTAAATGTGTATTCTGAGAATTGGTTTCAAGTGTACGGCAAACACTTTACTGACGTTGCTATTTCTCCTGCTCACTGCTGAAATCTCTAATGAAAGTTCTGTTCATTCAGTTTCATCCTTTGAGCCAGATGCTCTTCAGTGTGGTCTCTATCATTTTCTATGTACCTTAAGGATACTTGGTTTCAGTTGCTCAGTAGTGTTATCACTAACCCAGAATTGGGCCTATACCTGAAGGAAAATGGGACAAGTTTAGAGAAACAAAAAACAAAAGCAAACAAACAAACTAAAAATCATTTCCAGCTTATGGTTAAAAAAAAAATCCCACTGAGTTTTTTACATTATGCTTTTAGTGAAAATCTAATCTTCTTTCTAGTCAGTGGGAGTATGGTGGTTTGAAAGAAAATGGTCCTCAAAGGGAGTGGCACTGTTAGGAGGTATGGCCTTGTTAAGAAAGTGGGTCACTGTGGGGGTAGGCTTTGGGGTCTCCTATGCTCAAGCTATTCCCAGTGTCACAGTTCACTTCCTGTTACCTTCAGAACAAGATGTAGAACTCTCAACTCCTTCTCCAGCAATAGTCAGCCTGCACTGGTAGAATGTTTCCCACCATGAAGGTAATGGACTGAAACTGTAAGACAGCCCCGATTAAATGTTTTCCTCTATAAGAGCTGCCACGGGGGGTGTCATGGCGGCCTGCAGGCAGTGCTGCTCGTGTCTGAGGCTCCGGCCGCCGGGCTGAGGTCCCCTCGGTCCCCTCGGCTGGCCCGGGCGGAGTCGGCCGCTCATCTATTTGCAGGCGCGAGCGCTGTGGAGCACCATCTGGTCCCGAACGGTGGCCATGGACCTGGGCCACAGAAAATTAGAAATATCCTCTGGAAAACGGGCAAGATTTGCAGATGGCTGTGCAGTGGTACAGGCGACACAGCAGTGATGGTCACAGTGGTCAGTAAAACAAAGCCTTCACCCTCCCAGTTCATGCCCCTGCTGGTTGACTACAGACAGAAGGCTGCTCCAGCAGGTAGAATCCCTACAAACTACCTTAGATGGGAGATTGGCTCTTCTGACAAAGAGATTCTTACAAGTCGAGTAATAGATCGTTCAATTCGACCTCTCTTTCCAGCTGGCTATTTTTATGATACTCAGGTAATATGTAATCTGCTAGCTGTAGATGGCATCAATGAACCCGATGTCCTAGCAATTAATGGTGCTTCTGTAGCCCTCTCCTTGTCAGACATTCCTTGGAATGGACCTGTCGTGGCAGTACGAATAGGAATGATTGATGGAGAATGTGTTGTTAACCTGACAAGGAAAGAGATGTCTTCTAGCACTTTAAATTTAGTGGTTGCTGGAGCACCTAAAAGCCATATTGTTATGCTGGAAGCCTCTGCAGAAAACATTCTACAGCAGGACTTCTGTCATGCTATCAAAGTTGGAGTGAAGTATACCCAGCAGATAATTCAGGGCATCCAGCAGTTGGTAAAAGAAATTGGTGTTGCCAAGAGGACACCCCAGAAGATATTCACCCCTTCACCAGAGATTGTGAAGTATGCTCACAACCTCGCCGTGGAGAAACTCTACGCAGTTTTTACGGATTATGAACATGATAAAATTTCTAGAGATGAAGCTGTTAACAAGATAAGACTAGACACAGAGGAGCAACTAAAGGAAAAATTTCCAGAGGTCGACCAATTTGAAATAATAGAATCCTTCAATGTTGTTGCAAAGGAGGTTTTCAGAAGTATTATTTTGAATGAATACAAAAGGTGTGATGGACGGGATTTGACTTCACTTAGGAATATAAGTTGTGAGGTAGATATGTTTAAAACACTTCATGGATCAGCATTGTTTCAAAGGGGACAGACACAGGTACTCTGTACTATTACATTTGATTCATTAGAATCCAGTATTAAGTCAGATCAAATTATAACAGCGATAAATGGGGTAAAAGATAAAAATTTCATGCTGCACTATGAGTTTCCTCCTTATGCAACCAATGAAATTGGCAAAGTTACTGGTGTAAATAGAAGAGAACTTGGGCACGGTGCTCTTGCTGAGAAAGCTTTGTTTCCCGTTATTCCCAAAGATTTTCCTTTTACCATAAGAGTCACATCTGAAGTCCTTGAGTCAAACGGGTCATCTTCTATGGCATCTGCATGTGGTGGAAGTTTGGCATTAATGGATGCAGGGGTCCCAATTTCATCTGCTGTTGCAGGTGTAGCAGTGGGATTGGTTACCAAAACCAATCCAGAGAAAGGGGAAATAGAAGATTATCGTTTGCTGACAGATATTCTGGGAATTGAAGATTACAATGGTGACATGGATTTCAAAATAGCCAGTATAAATAAGGGAATAACTGCATTACAGGCTGATATTAAATTACCTGGAATACCAATTAAAATTGTAATGGAAGCCATTCAGCAAGCATCAGTGGCAAAGAAGGAGATATTACAGATAATGAACAGAGTAATTTCAAAACCTTGAGCATCTAGAAAAGAAAATGGACCAGTCGTAGAAACAATTAAAGTTCCATTATCAAAATGAGCAAAATTTGTTGGACCGGGTGTATATCACATAAAAAAACTTCAGGCTGACACAGGTGTAACAATTAGTCAGATTGATGAAGAAACCTTCTCCATATTTGCACCAACACCTAGTGCAATGCATGAGGCAAGAGACTTCATTAGCGAAATTTGCAGAGATGATCACGAGCAACAGTTAGAATTTGGAGCAGTTTATACCGCTACAATAACTGAAATCAGAGACACTGGCGTAATGGTAAAACTGTACCCAAACATGACTGCTGTGCTACTTCATAACATGCAACTTGACCAGCGAAAGATTAAACATCCCACTGCCCTAGGATTAGAAGTTGGTCAAGAAATTCAGGTCAAATACTTTGGCCGTGATCCAGCTGATGGAAGAATGAGGCTTTCCCGCAAAGTCCTTCAGTCTCCAGCTATAACTGCTGTCAAAACTCTAAATGATAGAAGCAGCATTGTAATGGGAGAGTCTATGTCACAGTCATCATCCAACTCTTCCCCTTGACTCCTGTTGGAAATGGTATTCAACAGTGATATTCTGCAAAGCAAACTTTAATAGTCCCGTTTAATGTGTAGATTTCTATATAATTTAAATATAATGTTTGTATTAAAATGTTCTTTTCTGTAGGTGGAGTTTTCTGTATTGCTAGCCAGTTCCCAAATGACAACATAGAGACTTACTATTAATTGTGAAAACTCAGCCAATAGCTTACGCTTGTTTTTAGCTAGCTCTTATAACTTAACCCAGTTCTAATCTATGTGCTGTCCAGAAGCTTGTTTACCTCTTCTACATAATATCCATCCTGTTTTCCAGCTTTTTCCATGTCTCCTCCCAACTCCACCCTCTACACAGCATCCTTTGTACCTGGAAATCCTGCCTACCTATTAGCTGTTCAGCTCTTTAGTAAATCAGTCCAAGTGGTATATCTTCACAATGTACGAAAAGATTATTCTACAGTACATTTCATGTGCCTTTTTTATTTCAGGATCAACCTATATTTGCCTTATTTATATTATAAAACCAATAAATATTTATTATTTAAAAAAAAGAGCTGCCATGGTCATGGTGTCTCTTCACAGCAACAAAAGACCCCAACTACGACAGGGAGGGAATAGTACTCGGCTGAATGTGACCTGCTGTGAAGCTTTTACAGTCAGATTGGACAGAAGCCACTGAACTCAGCCCTGCAGAACGTGTCCCCAAACCATTCATTATTCTCTGTATAGACTTGATGACTTTCACACTCCCACTGCCAGAAGATTGAATCAGCACCCTACTCAGAACCAATGGTGTAATTTAGAGTCTTGTTTGTTTGTTTTTTACTCTCAGAATAGGCTCTTTTGCCTTTCACCCAAATCATATTCTTAGCACACCTTTAATCCCAGAACTCGGGAGGCAGAATCAGGTAGATCTCTGTGAGGCCAGCCTGGTCTACAGAGAGAGTCCCAGGACAGGCTCCAAAGCTACAGAGAAACCTGGTCTCAAATAAATAAATAAATAAATAAATAAATAAATAAATAAATAAAATCTGAATAAATGCACTTTATCAATAATCATGCCATGGTAAAAGCCACAGATTGGGTCTTTGGAGGAAGAGAGATACGGAAAGGGAGGTTAGGGGTTGGGTTACATAATCATCATAGGACGCCTTGAACCAGGAGTGGTCAAGCTTCCAAACTGTTGTCATATGCCAACCCAAAATGTCCCTTTTTATAAAGTGATGGTCTACTAGAGCGGACAGAGTAGATGATGCTGAGGGACAGAAGTGCTGGATAACAGTTCCCCTTGGTTCGCTGATAGTTCTGCAGGTTTTTTCTCTCAAGCACAGACTCTGGCTGCCTTTGTTTCAGGTCATCATTGGGAGGGAGTTTCTTCTCTCTAGGGCAGAGGACAGGAATATGTTTTGTAGAATATAAAATGTTCTGATTCCACAGCTTTGGAGCCCTCCAATACATGAGGACATGAGGCTCGCCTCCTGCTTCATGCCACCCTGATGGACTGAGGCTTAGAGCTGGAGAAAGACCAATGTTCAGATTCTGCCTGCTTCCGGTGCTATGAGTAGCAAAAACCTTTGTCTCCGTCCTGAAGTCAGATGTCCCCAGCAGCATCCATGTGAGTAGAAGCTGGCGAGTCTGTTCATAAACAGTGTCAAAATCTCTGCCTCTTTACAGTTCTTCATAGAGCAGCTCCTCCAGGTTTAGAGAAGAAACCCTTCGTGTAATTCTTTTCTCATTTAAAAGAAAGCCAAGAGGCTCCCTCACCTGTTTGGGAGTGTTGTTTGTTTGCTTATTCATGAAAAGACAGAGTAGGCTTTCTTGTTTGGGATTCTGTGAGGTTTCTTGTTTTGGTTAGGAATCTAAAATCCCACATGGCAGGCATATGCTGTAACAAATCTCATTTATTATAGCATTTGTCAATGAAAGCCAGGAAAAGACGAATGAGATACAAATGTGCTTAGACAGCTAACTCAATACAATGACAAATAGATTTTACTGCCACTGTAATACCTAATACAGTGCATATTTATTTCTGTTAATACTTAAAGGCAGAAAGAGGCACTGGGGAGATAGTTCGTATGTAAGGGGCTTGCTGCATAAGCATGAGGAGCTGAATTCAAACCTCCAGCATCCACATAGAAAGCTCAGTATGAGGCACACCCACAATTCTAGCTTTGGGGGATCAGAGACAAAAGGATGCTGGGGCCCTGCTGGACATCTATGCTAGCAGAATCAGTTTCGCCAAGTTCAGTGAAAGGGGCTATCTCAAAACAATAAGATGCTCTACACAGCAGAAAAAAATAATGGCATCTTGAAATTTACGGGCAAATGGATGCATCTAGAAAACATCATATTGAATGAGGTAACCCAAACCCAGAAAGATAAATATCACATGTACTCACTCATAAACCAGCCTACAATTCATAATCCCAGAGAACCTAGACAACAATGAGGACCCTAAGAGATGTATGCATGGATCTAATCTACATGGGAAGTAGAAAAAGACAAGATCTCCTGAGTAAATTGGGAGAAAGGGGACCATGGGAGAGGGTTGAAGGGAGGGGATAGGAAGGGAGGGGAGCAGAGAAAAGTGTACAGCTCAATAAAATATAAAAAAGATAAGATGAAGAAATCTGATATTGACCCCCACACCTCTCTCTCCCCCCCCCTCTCTCTCTCTCTCACACACACACACACACACACACACACACACACACACACACACAAAGAACTAGAGCACAATATAAATGAAAAGCAACCTGAGTGACAACTTTAAAAGACTATCTTTGACTGGAGTTGGTTCTGATCTTGGCACTGTACAGAGGTCAGCAGGATAATCTAGAGTTTGAGGAAGCCTCTGAGGACTCCATAGTGAGTTTAAGGCCAGTTTGAACTATCCAGCAGGACAACCCACACCTACACACACACACACACACACACACACACACACACACAATTAAGTAAATAAATAAAAACATATAGAAAGTTAGCAAGTTTCAGCTCTAAGGGGTGATAGTCAATTTTACCTCAGCTTGACTGAGTTATAAGATATCTGGCCCCAGATATCTGTTTACATATTGCTGAGTGTATCTCTGATGATGTTTCTGAACGATTTCAGCATTTTTATTATTATTCTGTGCGTCTCTGTGCACATGAGGTATGTGTGGGCACATGTGCCAGGATGCATATATGGAGGTTAGTGGGCAGTTTTGGGGATTCAGTTCTCACCTTCCACCTCTGCATGGATTCCATAATTTAGGCCATGTTTCCAGGCTTATGAGGCAAGACTCTTTATCTGCTGAGACATCTAGCAGAAATTTGAATCGGTGAACTGAATAAAGCAGATAGCACATGTGGTTGTAGAGTGGTATCATCCGCTCCATCCAGGACCCCAAATACCACACAGAAACAGATGCATTCACTCTTTCTGCCCATACTTTTGTGTTCTTTGCTCACAGGCTGCTGTGGGATTTGCCTCTGTACGCTGTGAATAGCATTGGTTAATAAAGGAACTGCTTTGGGACCTATAGCAGAGCTATACGGGAACAGAGCTAGGTGGGGAAAACTAAGCGGAATGCTGGGGTAAAGGACGTGTAGTCAGAGAGAAGCCATGGAGCCTCGCCAGAGACAGACGCCCGTTGGAATCTTGCTAGTAAGAGCACATGGTGATACATAGATTACTAGAAATGGGTTAAATTAATATGTAAGAGTTAGCCAATAAGAAGGTAGAGCTAATGGGCCAAGCAGTGATTTAATTAATACAGTTTCTGTATGATTATTTCGGGGCTAAGTGGCCGGGAAAGAAACAAGTGGGCCTTCCTCCAACAACAGGCCTCCAAACTGAATGCAAATCTAAAGCACCAGCCCTGAGCTCTCAGGCCTTCAAACTACACCATTGGTTTTCCTATGCCACCAGATTGCACAGCTCTCAGCCTCTACTGTCATATAAGCCGGTCCTTAAAATTATTCCCTTTTGGCCAGGTGGTGGTGGTGCATGTCTTTAATCCAACACTCAGGAAACAGAGGCAGGTGAATCTCTGTGAGTTTGAGGCCAGCTTGATCTACAGGGTGAGTTCCAGGACAGCCAGGGCTACACAGAGAAACCCAGTCTCTAAAAACCAAAAACAGATATAGATCAATAGATAGATAGATAGATAGATAGATAGATAGATAGATACATAGATACATAGATAGATACATAGATACATAGATAGATACATAGATGAAGTCTATGTATTTTATGTATATGATATATAAATGTATGGTATAAATGGTGAACAGCATACATACACTTACACACATTTACCTAGTATGGATTCTGTTTCTCTAGAGATCTCTAATTAATGTGAAGTCTGTAACAATGTCATATATTTTGTGATACTTGACACTTTTACATATTATATATATATTTTTTTCCATTCAAAAATTTCCACTTCCTCCCCTCCTCCCATTCCCTCCTGCTCCCCCACTCACCCTCCTCTCTCCCCCTCCAGTCTTAAGAGATGGCAGGGTACCCTGCCCTATGGGAAGTCCAAGGCCCTCCCCCCTCCATTCAGACCTAGGAAGGTGTGCATCCAAATAGACTAGGGTCCCACACTTTTGCATATTATTATGTTGGTCAGCTTATATAATACATTTTGGAAATAGGCAACATGGCATTTTATTATTTGCAAGTCAAGAAAATAAACATACATATTAAATTACATATAATTTAAATAATAATTCAGAGCAATAATTATTGGCCAGGAGTAGTGGTATACACCCACAATTCTAATATTCTGTGGACTGATGCAGGAGGATTGAAAATTCAAGGACTACCTGAAATGCATAGTGAGCTACTATCTCAAACATCTAAAATAATAACTGGGGCTGTGTCTCAGTTGCTAGAATGATTTTCTGCAACACAAAAAATCCTGAGACTGACACCCAGCATTGCTTAAAACTGAGCATGGTAGCACATGCCTATATTCTCAGTACTTGGTAGAGACAGAAGGTTCTTAATTTCAAAATCATCATCAAGTACATAGCAAATGTAGCCTGAGCTATAGGAAACTCTGTCTCAAAAATATATTATGACAATAGTA